TAAACAGAAAAATTTCAAAAGGATGCTGTTCTAAAACCCAATTATTTGCAAAAACAGGCGCTGAAAATATGACATTCAATTCCCCTATTCAAATTAAATCCATATTTTCCATGAAGAGATTGGGTCCCTTTAACATTTGACAAGTCTTTCAGCTGAATAAATGTTCTGCCAAATGAACCATTCTGTCACACAAAACATTAATAACAATAACACATAAAAATCCTCTACAAGTTTACAGTTGTTAGTTAGCTGGACACCGGAAACATTAGCCTATCTTGACTTTCTATGTAAGGTAGATTTTGAGGCACATCAGATATAAGTTCATAGGATAAAACTTAAGTGCAATCTTAGTTTTATGTTTTGGTGTCCCTCATGACACCTTGTATCTGTTCTGGCCCCCTGAGGTGGCGCCATGGAAGAAAGGACGAATTATCACTGGCCACTAGACAGAAACAAATGCCAGAACTTGTTCACATCAGGCTCAGTCACTTGGGCCAGTTCATTTTAGTATCCTTAATAGAAAATTTAGACTCAGTATTTTTAACTCAGCTTTGATGTTTCACTGCTTGTAAGAAATTAGGTTATAAATAAAACTTTTATCTGTTTGTGGAAAGCAGTACATTAGATACTGAGGTGAATCAATTTACCACTTCTCTGGAAGGCTGATTTCCAAAAAATCACTTTGTTTGGTATCACAAGAGAAGGAGGGAATGAGAGCAAAGAAAGGGAAGGTCAAACATGCATTATGTTAATATGTACAAAGAAAAGTGGCACATGACTCATCAAAAAGGCACTCCAGAGTTAGGTATTTTTTCCCATCACATTTCCTTCAAGAGCTTCTAGGTTTCCTTCAAGGTTTCTTTAATATTCTGTCCCTACAGTTCTAGGGGGGAAAAATGGCATTGGGGTAAATAATTTGCTTTTTCATCTTCTGCTTTCGTGATCCACTCAGTAAATGTGATAATACAGCCCAAGGTTTGGTAGCCAACAGACTGGGATGCAGACTGGATGAGTGGATGAGGGACAGCTGCATTTCCACTTCTTCCCTAAGGGTGTAGTCCTGACACTCCACCCTCCCTTCCAGGAAAGGTGATCCTGTCATCAAATGGGCACACAGTTGGGAAATCTTTAAATGGGATTACATGAGCCTAACACCTACCTTCCACTCTCCACATCTGCAAACTAGAACAAAAGCCCAAACTGAAGTTTTTCTCTTCCTTAAGAATGCAGAAGCAAAATAGTCACAGTGGGCAGGGCACTGGTCAGTTCCCATTTCTGCCATCAGCATTAAATTGCTCTGTACCCAGAAGTGTGGAAACCCCCTCCAGCAACACCAGTAGCAGGCTCAGCAATATTGAAAGTCAAAAAAGTATGTGAAAAAGAGAAGGCAACATCTTAATCTTGAAGTTTGGACAGTTTAGAGAAATCAAAAATGCCACAATATACCCACTGAATTTCAATTAGGATAAAAAGCAACCAAAAGCAACAGGCTAAAAGTTACAGCACCAATATCACAAATGAGACAGCAGTGATACTATTTACAGTTATGTCCCAGGTAATCTATTTTATTTACTCATTGAAATTTGGTAAAGATAGCCCATCATACCTGTGCTCCTTGCATAAATGCATAGCGTAACAGTTTGGATATTTGTATTTGGACTAAGAAAGTTACTGTTTAATGTATAACTGAAATGATTAATGTTTAAACAGTGCATTTCACTGTGAAGTTATTATTAAAGGCAACTTAAAAATACCATATGTAAAAATGACAACAGAAGAGCTGGTACTCATAGGTGATTAGAGTTTATTTTCAAGGATTTAGCACTTTAAACTCATTTATTTTCTTGTGTGTTTGTTCTCTTAAATTACCCCAAACTTTAGATTACTTAGTAGACTTTTTTCTTGGATTATACAGAGTGATATCATTCATACTGTCCACATTAAAGTATGTAGCTACAGAGGAATCATTCATCAGGGAACAATATGAAATTTTCCAAGGTTAGAATATGGAATAGTAAGCACATCTTTCTTCACTTAGGCATTTTTAAATACCAGGAGGTGATCTGTAAAGTGAGAGACATTCAACCTGCACTCTTCTCTCTATATCACAGCTGTTATGCTACTTCTGACTCTTAGCAAGAGGGGAATTATCAAAGGAACATGAAGAATGAATGTGGAAGGCCAGTGACACACCAAGTGCACGACCTCCTTCCCTCTCTGGCCCTGCCTGCAGCGCTTCCACCTGCTCAGCGTGCAGCGCCCACACCAAGCAGAGAGCCAGAAGGATCTGTCACTGGAAGGAGCCAGAATCTCAACTTGAATTCAGATATAAAAGTTCACTATTGAGAACCGTTAGTCCAAAAAATGTGATCAGCCTCATCACAAAGTGGGAAGCAGTCAGATTTGTCCTTTCTTGCAAATCTTCAGATGCATAAAATATGTAGCTACTGCAAAGGTAATCCCAGCCACTTCTGGGCAGTCAGCTACTCGGTTAAAGTTAAGCATACTTTTAAATGCTAAGCATGTGTGTGAATCTTACCACAATCAGGATTTTGATCCTTATTAGACCTCAAGTGGTTAAAAAAAATTAATAAATTTTTGGTACTATGAAAAATTTCACACAAATAAATTATAAAATCTAAAGTAAAAGAATCAGAAGAGTCAACAAAAACAAAGACAGGAAATTGATGCTAAGTAAATCGAGACTTATTAATGGAATGGGTCACTGCTGATGTGACACCAATTAGACAATGGCTTACACTGCACAAAGGCTTTGAGTGGTTAAGCAAAAGAGAAATCACGGAAATTATGGCAGCCTTTGACAGAACATTTTACAAATAATTGTTTTATGTACGCACAAAATGCCAACCAGGTCACAAAAAGAATTTGTGAAACTTGTCCTGCGGCACAATTATGACTGTAATGCACCACTTCCTTTTGACCTTTTGTGCCTACGGAGGACTTTCCTAAACTTTAGCCCTTTGCCGCTTACGTTCCTTGCAGATGTAAAATTAGATCCTTCTGCAGACTTACTACTCCAAGCCCTTCTGATTTAACACAAAACAGAGAAGTTTCTCAAATCAATTAATTTTTACACAGGTGTTGGGAGGAACTTACTGAAAGAAATCAGATTGTAAGAGTAGTAGCAGCATCAATTAAAATCAGCTGACAGACTATTAGACATTTCTACTGTAAAAGCTTTGTTATCTATTGACTGGTATTTGCTGAATATATGTTTTCCACAGGATGACTTGGGGGGGTAATCAGCTAAAATGCATCTAATATTGAAGGGAGGCAAATAAACTGTAAAAAAATTCCAGCAAGCATCTCTCTGAAAAGCTGTTAATGTCCCAAGTTATCCAGAGAAGTTAACTTACATCTGGCAGTAGAGATGATCTCTGTACTGAAATAAACTCCTGTCAGCATAGTTATTGAATCTGGCTAAGCAGCAAAGCTTTGGAAACCATGTATCTTACACAATCACTAGGAGAGCTCTTGCAGGTAGACAAAGGATTCAACAAACCACTAAATCATGAATTCTAAAATCATTAATCAGGGATGGAGATGGGCACTGCCTGATCAAGCTGCCCTGTGATGGTCAAGGATGCTCAATATTCAGGGCAGAAATTGCTGGAAGAGTAAGCAAGGAGTTTGTCCCTCTGTGCATCAGTAAAAGACAATCAGAAGCTCCACTGTGACTGAGATTTCCCCACTGTCCAGACAGACAAACCTCTCTCAGACTTCCTTTGTATGTCTGGCAGACAGAATGTTCCTCCTTTCAGCCTTAGGACTGTGTTCCTTCAAGCACAGCCAGACATAAGTTAAAGAATGACATCCTTTCCTCAGCTCCTTTCCCAAGTCACACAACTCCACAAAGAGGATGTGCTCCCAACTACAGCATCAAGGCAAGCAAAGGCATTTCATTCAATACAAACCACTGCTAGCTGCCTTCTCCATGAGTCCTGGTTTGTTGGACAGATTTGTTTCTCTCCCAGAAAAAGAAATCTGGTCACCTTATTTTACTGTCCTTACTAGGACACTTTGAATCAGGAAGTGGTTATAAATTACATAGATAAAAGATATTTTTTTGAATCTGCATGAAATAAATCAATGCATTTTTTAAGGATAAAGGTGATGAAGATTAAGACTGGTGTCACATTTAAACTGAATCACTGATGCTATATAAAAATTCTAGGAAACAATAATTGAGCTACTCATATTAAAATCTCTTAGGGGATAGTATAATTTCCTATGATTTATAAATTGCATTCCATCAAAGCCTGATCCAAGTTTGTGGTTTTTACCAACAGATATGATAGCAAAAGCTAAAAAGGATTATTCTCTTGCTTGAACTCAGTTTCTCTGAAAATAAAATCTTGGATTGTGTTGATTCAAAGGATTTTATGGTTCTTTTTCAGGGAAGAAGGAAAATTTGAGAAATGTGTGAGAAACCATTTGGTCATTTTAATAAAGGAGACATTACTGATAGTGATAAAGAAATTGGATCCTCCTGTAATTTTTTGCAGATGTAGACCCTACCAGCTGTGGTGTAATGTGCCAGCTGAAGCACTGAAAAGTTGCCCTTATTGAAATTTTGTCCCAGCAAATGTGTAGAATGAGAACCAGCAATGCTTTCCTCTGTATTTATTCCCTGAACAGAAAATGTGTAAATTAATTATTTTAAGATGAAATTGATACATGCCCCAGTACTCCATGGAATTTTAGTTGCATGCATCCTGCTCTCATATTACACAAATGGTTGATAGATAGAAAAGTTGAAGTAAGTTGAAAGGCTTTAAAGGACTGATGCTATACTTTTTTGTTTGGATAAAAACTAGTGAAAGCAGCAGGTCCTCACATGATCTCATCAAGAATTTGATTTTGATTTTAAAAATTATTTATAGACTGAGACTTTGTAAAATCTGGAAGAGAAATGCTAGACACACTCAGATCAACTTTTGACTGAATTACTATTTCAAAAGCAGTGCAGTGGTACTTACCACATTGCAAAGAGTTATCCTCTTCTACTGTCGTGTTATAGATCCAATCCTCCTTTCTCCAGCGTATAACACCACTGTCCTGGCAGTCCTCAGATTGTGTTATATTTGCCTTGTCCCACATTCTGAACAGGTACAGCTCCCCAGCCATACCCTGGCGAGCTGCTGCACCTGTACCTTGCAGCTTTGAACAGCCAAGTAAGAACTGGCCTCTTGCAGGCAAAGAAAATTTCCCATTTAGTTTCTTGTGTAATTTTACTGTTCCATTTATGAATACCTTCACCTCCTCATTGTCACTTTTCCACTGGATACATATTTGGTTCCAAGTGTTTTTATGAAGCCTTATTGATGTGCTTATTTGTTTTCCGAACAACCATATCTTCAATTTCCCACGATCTCCCGTAAGTCCAAGATCAAACTTATTTGCAGAGAGATTGGTGTGAAGAGTTTTTTCAGCATATACATATGCTGTCCATGGATTGTTAGAGGAATACAGCTTGAGGTGCACACAGACAAGGAATTCTCTCAAGGAATGCAGAGAAATTCTGGGTGACATACTCCAAGGATCTTCACACGCAGTCTTAAAGACGGCTTTGTATCGCCCTAGGAAATCCTCCTGATCTAAATAAAGAAAAAGTGATTTGTAAAACCTTTAGGTCTAGAAAAAGATCCTTTATATAAAAGTTATTTTTCCATATAGTATTGTTTCTAGGCATTTTCCTAGGAATTTTCAAAACAACACATTAAGAAATGATCTTGTAACCCACTCCTTTAGATTTATTTTTGTGGTAGGGAAGTGACTAATTTGGAGGCAGTCAATAAATCCTAGCTGCCCACGAAAACTTTGAAGTAAAACTTATGCAGAAGAACAAGGATGATCCTGTAGAATCACAGAATCATTTAGGCTGGAAAAGACCTCCAAGATCATCCAACCCAACTGTCAACCCAGCACTGCCATGTCCACCACCAAACCATGTGCCCAGGTGCCACTTCTACACATCTTTTAAGCACCTCCAGGGATGGTGACTCAACATCTTCCCTCTGCACCATGGCTCAATGCTTAGCAACCCTTTCCATAAAGAAATGTTTCCTAGTATCCAATCTAAACCTCCCCTTGTACAACTTGAGGCCACTTGCTCTTGTCCTATTGCTGGTTACTTCAGAGAAGAGACAGACCCCCATTTGGCTATAACCTCCCTTAAGGTAGGGAGTATAAGAGTCTCCCATGAGCCTTCTTTTCTCTAGGCTAAGCAATCCCAAGTCCCTCAATTGCTCCTCACAGGATTTGTACTCCAGAATCTTCACCAGCTCCATTGCCCTCCTCTGAACATGCTCCAGCACCTCAATGTCTTTCTTGAAATGAGGGGCCCAAAACTGAACACAGGATTTGGGATACCAGTGCCAAGTACAGGGGGACAGTCACTGCCCTGGTCATGCTGGCCGCGCTATTGCTGATACAGGTCAGGATGCCATTGGCCTTCTTGGCAACCTGGCACACACTGGCTCATGTTCAGCAGCTGCTGATCAACACCTCCAAATCCTTTTCTGTAATGCAGTTTTCCAGCCACTCTTCCCCAAGCCTGTAGTACTGCAGGGGGTTGCTGTGACCCAAGCACAGGACCTGGTACTTGGCCCTGTTGAACTTCGTTCAACTGAGGCTTTATTCTGCTCCTCATCCCTGTCTTCCAGCTCAAGGGGCTGGGCACTCTGAGACTAAGGCAAAGAAAGCATGAAATACACCAGCCTTTTCCTCACCCTTTGTCCCCACATTTCCCCTTTAACCCAATAAAGGCTGGAGATTCTCCTTCACCATTTTCTTGTTAAAGTATTTATACAAATATTTTTTGGTTTTATGGCAGTAGCCAGATTCAATTTTATTTGTGTTTTGGCCCTTCTGATTTTCTCACTGCCTAACCTTAAGGCATCCTTGTAGTCCTTCTGAGTTTCCTGCCCCTTCTTCCAAAGGTCATAAACTCTTCTTTCCTGAGTTCCAGCCAAAGCTCTCTGTTCAGCTAGGCTGATCATCTTCCCCACTGGCTCATCTTCTGCTGCTTTGAGCTGTTTCTGCCCCTTGGAGAATTCCTTCTTGAAGTAGAAGTCCAGCCTTCCTGGACTCCTTTGCCCTTCAGGGCTGCTTCCCAAAGGACTCCATCGACCAATCCCCTAAACATGCCAAAGTCTCCCTTCCAGAAGTCCAAGGTGGCAGTTCTGCTGAGTCCCCTCCTTAAGTCTCCAAAAATCAAAAGCTAATAATTTTGTAATTGCTGAGGCCTCCAACCATACATCATCCATCAACCCTCTCTGTTAATAAACAACAGGTCCAGCAGGCACCTTCTCTATAAAATGAGTAGTTCCAGACAGTGCCTCAAACACTGAAACTTGATTGTAACTGCTCAATTCTTGTAGGTGCCTCATTTCTTTCATTGTCCCAGTACAGGAAAGGACAGACTTTTGTGGTTGTAGATGTGAACTCTTTGGAGATGACTCTTATTTTGTAGAAAGTTGCACGCTTCAATTGCATAATCATTATCATGGCTGCTTGCTTTATGGTGTACACAGCAGCAACAAAATAAGAAAGAGTTCCTTTGGAACATGAGATGGAACAACAGAAAAATGAAACAGCCTGTCAGATGTTCAGCCAGTGCAAGAGAACACACTACTGACACCTTTAAGGAGGTAATTATTTATCAATATATGCAGAGCTTTTATGAACGCTCCAGAGGATGTACGGGATTAATCATGGCTGGTCAGGGTTAAAAAGCAGAAAAAGATTGTCCAACAAAGGAAAAAGCCTTTTCCATTAGCTCCTCTGTAAGAAGAAAAACTTCCAGGCTACTTGGATCAGGGTTTTTTTTCCAGGGTAGGTTATGTTCATAGTCCTAGTTAGCCATCAGGATCACAGCCAGCTCTTCTGTAATGTTCTAATTGCACCAGAGTGTCAGCTTTCATCAGACCAGTTCTGACAACTTTTCTGTCTCTCAACCTACAGGCTCTCAAATTTATTTTTCAACAGCAACAAGGAAAAAAAAAGGAGAAAGTTCCTAACTTCCAAGTGCAACTTTATAGGTACAACCTATCAGAAACATTTGAAACAGAAAATATATCAATCCAGTTTCATGGAAAGTCATTGATACCTATTCTTGTTGCATCCTATAGATCTGAGAGTCTCTCTGTGATGCTAACTAGCAGAAGTTTGCAGGCATTTTTCACAACCTGGAATCATTCCTGAAGTTCAAATACGTGACAGAAGTGCTATGCAAGGCCATAGACCAAACAAAAACTCTCTGGGTACAGGCTACAATTAGATGAAAATCCTAACTAGCAGACAGTGGATTCTGAATGGTGAGTTAATACTTAGATTGGTTCTAAATGGCAAAGGAGAAGATAGACACACTTGACCCAACAGCAAGCCTCCCCTGCCTAACCCTGCAGCATGAATTCACTCATTCAGTTTGGCCACTTGTCAGAGTCTGAAGGCAAAATCTGGGATACCCCGCTAAGAATAATTCAGTATGGAAAACTAATTTTTAAAATTACTTAAAAGCTGAATGAGGAAGACTGGATGGGAGGGGAAAGTGTCACAGAATATGATATTTTTCAAAATGGGGGCTCAAATATACCTACCTTTTTAAAGTAAAATTAGAACAGATGTCCATCTGACAGCATGGACAGGTCATAAGGAAACTGATTTTATAAAGGAAATAGCCAGCTAGTTACATGCCAATACTGGTGACACATTCTTTCCAAATAAAAAAATTGCTCAAGTCTTTCATTATTAAGTAGAAATTGACTGGTAAGGGAAGTTTCCTGACACAGCTTCAAAACTTGAAGTTACTGTTAACTATCCAGATTGACAGACTGGAATTCCATTCCTGAGCAAAAATACTAACCAAAACTTGAAGTATCATCAGCAGACTTGGCTTGGGAAGTGAATGAATTCTGAGAGAGGCTTGATTTCATGTTAAGCATTAAAGCAGTGTTGATATGCAAATAGTGGATTAAAGGGCAGCTAATTTCTAGTACATTCTTTAGGGGAATTGGGACTTCAAAGTTGTCAAGGGAGCCAGAGTAGACACAAACTTGTAGATGAAAAACAGTTGTAAGACAGCCAAGAGAAATTATGCAAAATGACATAAATCTGCTGATGATTCTTCTGGTCTGCTTTATATAATCCAAAAAGACTGCTGTTGATCAATATGCAAGGCCTGAAGAATTAATTTAAACTAAGAATAGTGTTTACATAGAAAGGTCTACCCTTCTGGAAACTGGAAAGATGGCCCATTTTGCTCTAAACAGTCATTAAAAAAAGTGCCAAATAGAGATGTCAAAATTAAGAGAATGGATACCAATACTATCTGAATTGTTGCACGGCTGGAAATTTTAATATGCTTCATCTACTGAAAGAATGCTGAAAAAGCAGAAAAGAAATTGTAATCATAGCCAGAAAACGCACTTTGTTGTTCCAAGTGAGTGCAGCACAGCATTATGTTAGAAATTAATTATCAGTATTATCAGTGTTATCTTGAATAAGTCTCCTTGCCACGTGGGTGGATGCATTGTAAGCAAGAGATGACGTTACAGTAAAGCCTTTAGAAGATCTGTTAATCATCACTGACTTTCTCCAGCAATGGTGGCTGTGGGCCGTGACCCACCCTTGACCATGGAACCGAGGAGCTGGAACTGCCTGTGCTCTAACAGAGGCATTCCTGGAGTCTCTTTGCATGCAGACAATGCAAAAAATTCAGAAAAGTAGCCATGAACACAACTTTACAGCACAGAAAAGGGAGCATGATGGGAAGAATGCTTCAAACAGCTCCAGAGTAAGAAAAATCCAGAGTAAGGAAAATATAAATAATTATAATAATTTTAAAAAACAAAGAAAAAAAAACCCAACCACAAATTTGGAGTGAAGGAAACTCCATTCAGTAGTAATCATGGGCTGACTGTTCAATGTTTCTTGCTGTATTTGGGCACATAAGCCTTTTTAGAAATGAAAATTTTTCTTCTTACTATACTTATCTCTAAGAGATGCAAAACCTGGGGGTTTGGTCCTCACTTAAGCTAAAAGCATGTATTTAACAAGCATGTTCTCTTAAGCCCTAAAAGAAATCCTGAAATGTATGCACATGCTTCTAAATGTTTAAAATTCATTTTCTGAGAATGACAATATAAACCCAAACTGCATCTCTTTGTTTTTTCTAAACAGTTTTAGACAGTGATAATTGTCATTTTTACAAGAGATAGCCATTAGGAATTAAGAATTAGGTAGGTATTAAGAATTAGACCTACGGGAGCCGATTCTCTCAGTACATGAGCACCAGTGTTATTTTCCTTCTATTACTAATAACCTCTGGATCAGTATACAGCTGAGCATTAATACAGTCAGGCATTCTCTTGAATAAAACTAGTTACAAGTTTATATGTCCGCACAATGTGGCTTTTAACCAGTAACAGTAGTTATTAACTTCCTTGCAAGTATTTGCCACCTGTGACACATTTGGCTCGCTACAGTCCATTAAAATGACGTCAAAAGACTCTGGTATACTCACGTATTCCATCTCGAGCTCATAACTGTTTTTTATAAAAAGCCTAAAACACTAAACTTTCTACATGTGGGTCACCTGATTCTGTTGAATATTTTAAAAATCTGAAGCTAAGAACTGTTTCCCCAAAATCAGTTTCATCCCTCCTTTTCATTCACAGTTCTATTTGTTTAGCTGGGGATAAACAGCATCACCTTATCCAGTATCCTGAGCATCAAAAAGAACACAGGAAGTTCTTCCCTCTTCGTATTTTTTGGAGAACACAAACATACTTTGACATCTCAGATGGGAGGAAAGAACTGACTAGAGATGCTGCTGACACTACTAACTGCTGACAGCCTAAAACAAAAACATCCCAATAAAACAGGGGGAAAACATAAACACACTAGTGTCAGTTTAGCTTTCTTTGATGATTAATGACAGTTTTAAGTGATACAAAGGTGAAAAATGAAATCCCTCTTTGCTCACTTCCTCAGAACTTTAGATGCAGTTAAATATTCCCTGGAAAAACTCTTCTATGACATCTGTCCATCTGCTGAGCTCTGTCCTTTTTACTATTTAAAGTGCAAGATGTTAACACCTCTCCATCTTAGCAGCAGGTTTATCACCTGAATCTCAGATTCTGTCTCAACAGAAACATTTTGTAAAAGTTACTGTATCTGGAGAATTGGAGTCAAACTGAGTCTAGTCTGTAAACCATAAAACCTCATTGGTTGTACAACATCATTAAGCAGGCACACTGAAATTTAAAAAAATCAGGCAGTAAATCAGAGCTGCAAGTTCTGATCTAGAGTAAAATAACATGCCATGACACAGAAGGAAGGTTCTGAAACCAGCCATTAATCACACAGCAAAAACAGTTAGATTTTTTAATACACTAAGCACATTATTAACATGATAAATGCACTACACACATAAGGAAGCTGTTTGAATGACAAGCACTGTTATCTTTATCAGCTGAGGTCCACAGCAGTAACAGACCTAACCATCAGTTTACAGAAAAAACTGAAATTTTTCAGCCATGGAAAAACACAAATTATTTTACCTCACTTTATTCTACTTAACCTTACACAAAAGCATCACCATGTCAGTTTTCCACAAGAACCTTATGAATTTATTTTTCATTTACTGTTATATAAAGAGCTTAAACTGCCATGTTCAAATACTTCATTTCTGTTATATGTTTTGGGCCTTACTACCTTTTCCTTAGCCATATTCAGATCCACAACCAAGATCAATGCAGATGTTCTACACTCACACACGCCCTAAATACAGAAAAGCTCAAAGGATCTTGTGGTGTTTTTGTAAGAGCAGTGAAAGATTTAACAACATGTTCTGAAAATAGCAACACTTCCAGCTCAAAAAAACCCCAGTAATAAAATAATTTGTCTTGTTATTACAAATTGTGTTTTGGTTCTCTCCTCATCCACAGCCTAGAAGAAGTTACTACCAATGTTATTTTATGAAAACATACAAAGCATCCAAAATGCTAAGCACCAAGTGTTTCATTTCTTGTTAGTGACAGTTTTTCCTCTTGTTTTCAAGAGGCAAAAACTTGCCTGGTTGAATATATTCAAAAGTCCTATTCATCAAGTCTAATGGTATTTATTTGGAATACCAACACTAGACCAATCAGGAAAAAATTCTCTTACCTTTGCTTGCTGTAGCCAAGAACAACTGAAGTAAAAGGACTGCTTGAACAATCCTGAATCTCAAGAAAATGTCCTGTATTCTGCCAACACAGCAGTGCTGTTTTTCCCAGGCAACCATTCTAGAAAAAACAGATAAATAAATAAACCACAATGACTAGAAAACATCTAGGTGTATGGACATTATGACAAAATATGTTTCCAACATGAGCATAAATCTTCTCAACCCTATTATAGTATTGGATATATATTGCACAGAAATACCCAGATACTCTGTATATTGCCAAGACACTAAGAGAGAAAGACATGCTTGATGAAAGGAAAAAAAAACACAAAGAAAACCCATCCAAGCTCTAATTCTCCAAAGACTACAAACACATCAGAACATAGCCATGACTCCTTGCACAAATAAGACTTTCAGCATTTGAAAAACAAATTAACAAAACCCCTCCAAAAGATTTGCACACAAACATAAAACCCAAACAAAAGCTGACAGAGCAATCATAGAAATGTCCAAAAGCTTTAATAATCTCAGTATGTAAGAAAGAATCTCTTCAGTCCTCTACCCACACATTCTCTCATGTGACAGTATAACAGCCACAAACCACTGTGGGCAGCAAGTTCATGAACAATATCATGAAAACCTGGCTTGTCCACCTTTCTGTTATAAGAGATACCCTTCTATGAAATATTTTTTAAGATCTTTTTTAAAAAAGGTGCATCTGAATATTTTACATGCTGGAAGAAACATTCAAGAGCTTTTTCTTATACAAAAAAGTTTAGATACACAGTGGCAAGTGATTCTGTAGCTGATTATTGAAACATGCAAAGCAGTAAACTTTACATATTGAATATTTTCCATGTATCAGCTTTAGGGTGGATCAGAGCATTCTGCCTGACACCAGAAGTTTAACTTGGCCATCACAAGTTGGGTGCATGTGCAAGTGCATTGGTTAGCACTCACACTGCTCACAAACTGCATTGCACTTCTGCTCAGGCTGTGCCAGATTGCAGTAGCTTCCCTTCTTTTGAGGCACTCCTAAGTGTCTTTCAGAAGTTTTATATTTTTTTAAAGGTTGGGGTTAAAATGTAATGTTTTTGAAAGGTTCACACAAATGTAAATATTTATTAATTTACAATGGTTACTATGGGCTGAACTCAGCCAGCGAAGTGCCACAGGACTAAACTAAGAAACAGTGAAGTTGCTAGGTAATTGAAACTTTAAAAATTGATTAAACATATGTGCAAATAAATTATAAATATATAATAACATAACATAGAAACCTAAAGCAATGGCTTTTTAAAAAATAGAGCACTGCAACATTGTTGCCAGTGTTTTCAAGAATTGCAACATGCAATACTTCTAAGAAATAAAAAAAAGCTGGCGAAATAAATCATATGCTAAAACAATAGTCATACCTAATATACACATTTATATGCAAACAAAAACAAGTAAAAAAAGGCCAGAAATGTCAATGGTGGGCTAGCTTTCTAAAGATCCCCAGGAAACATGTTCAAACCTGTCCTCAGCTTGCCTCTCTGAATGCCTAAAAATCGTGTATTAATAAAGTTGTGCCATCAGCAACCTGAGTAGCAGAATTAAATTAATTATCCTAAGAACCTGATAATGAAAATCGTTGTGCTTAAATATATCTGACAATTTCAAGGACTGTGCATTTACAATGCAATTTTCCTAGGGTTAAAAGAGATGCTCATCCAAAAACTGTTTCCTTTACTTACTTACATTTTGCAGTCTAGTCTCAAATTAGGTCACTTCCAAGCAAAACCAAGCTGCACATTTGTTCTTCCATTTTATGGGGAAATCTTTTGTACACTAAACCACCCATCCATAGTGATGTATTTAGACAACAAAACAAACAAAATTTGCAACATCCCTTTTCTTTACCACCTAGACACCAAGAGTTGAAATGTGAATGGATGGAGCCAAAAGTACTCAAAGCCACAAGTGCAGCCATTGCTGCTGGTAAGCACTGAGGCAAGCTGCCTGCTTTGGGTCACATGTGATACTGACTGAGAACACTCCCACATTCCCTGCTTTTGTTTTCTCCCTAAGCCTCAGTCCTGCAAACAGATGCACATGAAATGAGCTGACTAGGACAGAGGTTTACTCCTGAACCACCAGGCATGCCTTTGTTTTGTTTGGCAGAGCTCATTAGACAATGATGTTAGTGTCCCACCCCCAGAAATAAAAATTGCATTACAAAAGCCTAAATTTGAGTACAGGAGCCAAGAAATTCCTGGTACTGACTCCAGCCCTGCCTGAGCACTCTGTAGCCCTGAGGAGTTTGAATGGACCTTCCTCTAAGTCTGGCATTTCAGAGGGAGATTTGCTAATATTTGCCCAGTGTTTAAACAAAAGGCTGTAATAAAGACTTTCTGTACATTTAGGTTTTTGTCTCATGTGGGGTTTTTTGACATTGTACTCACTTCCAGAGATGGGCCTGGCAAAGACAAGTAGGGACAGAGTCAGAGCTTCTTGCTGACTGAACACAGTCACATCAAGAACTCCAAAACTATTCAAAGCTATGAAGGAAAACTAATGATCCCAGGTAAAGCAGTAAAATCCAGACAAAAGGAATATAAAGTGAAATACTAACACGGTCAGCTCAACTGACTTTTTGCAAGACTTTGAACAGCTACACTAGTTCAAGACTTGTTCCAATGTTCAGATAAAATATACAATTAAAAGAGTTGGGAAAGTATTGTTTGTGTTCCTTTATTTTTGCAACAAAGTTGTTTAGACACTACTAAAGAAAAATACGCTGCTATCTTTGGTACTTTTTTAATTAAAAAAGCAAGATATAAAATACAATTTTACCATATCTATTCAAATGAAGATTATATGATACATTCCAAAATATTTGGTCATTATGTTCTTCTCAAAATTATTGAAGCCCTTTTCTGTATTAGAATCCTAAACCTTCATTCTTAATGATCCTGAACAGTAATGTAATTGCAGACTTATAGTTGTGAACATTACAGAATTAGGCACAAGGGATTCTTTTCATTTGTTAATAATTTGCCCATGTGTTCAAATGAACATTTGTATTCTTCTTCATAATAGATGAATATAGTGTGACTCAGGGAGCCCAGCATAATTATGCATAGTTTTTGCACCAGGATGAAAAATTTTCACATGTATATCAAGCAAATCTAATTCAGTACAACAGTTACTGAGCCACCCAAGTGTGGGAAAGAATTCTGTGCACAGACTTCAGGTAAAGATGTAACCAGCTGGCGTCCCTTTCTCAGTCACAACTAAGTGGTTTTTATTTACAAAGAGCTAAGTGTCTGAAATAGATGACAATATAAAACATTTCTTTATGGTCAGCAGAAAAAATGAAAATTCAGAAAATAGAAATTAAAGGCTCAGGCATAAATCTGTTATGTCCTGTTTGCTCTCCATGTAGAGTGTCTTATTTTGACCAATGACAACCTTGCACCCAGGTCTTACAACATTTCACACCATCTTATTAATTTGAAAGTCAAACTATAATTGAGAGTGCTTTTCTTAAAACAAATGAGCAAATATACTTTGAAAAATTGGAATTTTTTTTGTTTGTCTGTTGTGTTATACATTGCACAGTTCTGCATTAATATCACGCTCTTTGCAAATTACAGAGGTTAGTGGAAACAAAGACAGGAAGATGGTATAAAAAAGGAGTTTGAATTTCTATCATTAATAGTAATTAGCTCATGCCCTGCTATTTCACTTTACTACTTTCTGAGTGCGCACCCATAGGTGACATATCAAGACATTTAGCACTTACCTTCAACAACTGCTTGCCTTGCAGGACAGCAGATATATTTTCATAGGATTAAAGCCAAAGAAAGCGCAAAACATAAATACATCAGTTGTGTTCTGTAATATATTTTGTTACATCACTTTTGGAAAAATTTCACATCCAAATTTCATAATTCCTGTTGAAAATACATATTTACTGGCAATCTTTAACATTTAATAAACAATTAGCTCTTTTATGCTAGGGTTGAGCCACAGCAGATTCTCACTGCCAATGCATAAACAGCTGGTTACAGAAACTTATCTTGGAAATCATGGCCCAAAACAATCATTCATTTGCTTCCAATCATGCTGTCTGCTGCTGCACCTTAAACTGCTTTGTTTAAGCCACACTTATTTCATCCATGGTCTTTGGGTCTCATTTAATCTTCTGTATTCATTCCCTACTAAGATTGTAGATTTCAATAACAATATTTTCCAAATTTATAGAAGCTGCAGCTTAGGAGGAGGGTAATAATGAATGGCAAGCTTCTGGCTGCTCTTCTGTGATATTCTGCCTTATTCAAGTCTACACCAGGTGACAAAAGGCTAAAACAAGCAAGAGAAACACATCAAACTGCCCAGGTATGAAAACTTCTTGATGTCTTTCAGAATGTAAGACTGTAGACTTCTTCCATCAACTCCTTATATTTTCCAGACTGGAACCAAAATGCAGTGAAGTTTTCATGTTATTTTTAAATTTTGGCTGAAGCAACTTAGATGTAATAGGGAGGACTTATGTTGGAAACTATTGTGTCACAGCAAATCTTGGCTTATACAGAATTTATTGACTTAACAGCAGAAGTAGCACCACTGAGTTCAAAATGTTGTTCCATGGGGGTTTTTATGTGTTTTTCCAGAAGACAGTAATAGGATTATTACTGTCTGATAATAATTTGGTTTTCATTAATTTCAATAATTAATTCATGATTTCTTAATCACGTCTGTAAAAACTGTATTCTATATAGTCACCATATTCATTTAGTCACTTTATATAAAACACCAGTTTTTTCTAAGACTGTAGTGGTAATATGTTCAAATTCAAGGACCTTCCTCTAGACATAAATCATTACTGTTTTCAAAGATATTAAAAATTTTATTTTTAATAAGTTGGTTTACAGAGAGCAACAAGCCACTTAAGCACAGACATCAGTCATCTGCAAAACTCACAGTTGGTTGATTGAGTTCTTCAGAGAACTGGAGGATGAACTCCCTGAGAAATCCATTCCTTTGTTTAGCCTTTCAACTGTTGCAGGATGCTGGCACTAGAATAATTTTATATTTTATTTTATAAATGCCCAACCATGCAAGCCAAGGTC